AGCATTTACAATTACAAGCGCTCTGTACTTTTACAACCACTTGTAAGAAATTTAAAGAAATATTATTAGAGTAAATGGCGTGAAGTCAGAGGGTCTCTCTCTCTCTCTCTCTCTCTCTCTCTCTCTCTCTCTCTCTCTCTCTCTCTCTCTCTCTCATGCTTTTTTTTTTTACAACTCACTGACTGTAACTGTGTCGTTGAGCATCTCTTTACTTAAACCAAATGAAACTAAATCAACACACTTGCACCCAAAAATAGTTTGTCAGATTAAGTGTTTTATGGCATTTGCAACACAAATACGTTATATAAGTTCCAAAGATTACAGGCGTCAGCATTACTAGAGAGTAACACACAAAGAAAAGATGGAGGAGAGACACAGATAATAGATGTTTGAGAGGAAAGAAGGAGCAAACCACAACAAAACCTCTACCAACTACCCAGTATCACAACACTAAAACCAATAATTCAAACAAAGCTGTGAAAAGTGTCATAGTTTGTATTCCAATGAATTTTCAGTCAATTTGTTGTGAACAAAATACATTGTAGGCCTACATGCAAAACAAAACAAAAACTGCAATGAACCATCAAAACTCGTATGTAGGTTCAATGTCACACTACATTCCAAAAACATGTATTATAAAACATAATAATATGACTGAAATATCATCTCTATACATGTGAACACACAAGCAGCCAGCTAATAGATTAAAAAAGCAAATTAAATTTTAATTGTAACTGCAAAAACATCATGCCTCCATCAACACAGTTTAGATCATTTAGAATAGAAGACAGATCGTTTTGACCCTGCCTGTCAGGGTCAATGTCGACTGAAAAGGAGACAACATTCAGCAGAAGAAGATACATTACTCATTTTTTAGCGGGAATCGAACTCCTGTCTTGTGTATGCAATGTCAAAAAGGCTAACCATTAAACTACAAACACTGGTCCCCATCAAATGTGAACCTCAAGCATGCACAAACAATAATGAGGAGAGTAGTTTTAAAAGAGAAACATGAACTGATACTTATGAAACAGTCTTCAGAGCATTGAAATTAAACCATAGTCCTTTGAGAACGGTATAACTATCGAGAAAAAAATACTTTTATCCAACACGACCATACTTGCAGCTGTACAGAAATATCAATCCTATATAACTGCAATGACTGAAAATGTTTTACACCTTAATCAACCTCAGAATCATCGCAATTTAGGACAAATAGTTGAAGATGAGACAACTCACAAAAAAACTGAGGAACTGTAAACACTGAATTCAGTCCCTTCCTCCTTATCACAAAGGTGTAAAATATTAGGGAAAGCCTGTAGCAATCATGACAGCCACATGGAGACTGCACTAATCATGTCTGTCCCATTGCAATAAGATAGAACACTAAATCCCTTTTTATAATTGTAATCATAAGTGTTATACATCCCCATCAACACCATTCTAAATCATGTAGGAGGTGAGCTGCTTCATCCTTACTTGTCAGAGCCCACCCAAGCAGAGAGGGATACAAGAACAGAAAGACAGAGATACCCTGTAAAATTCTCCTCCTAAGAGAACTGTACTCACGTATTCTGTGTGCGACGACAAAACACCTCACCACTACACCACAGACATTGGTATCCTACCCAGGACAGTCGAAATAGAACCCAAAAAATTTATTTTTTTTCAAAACAAAAAAAAATAACATCAATCCTTTCTCAACAGAAAAGTTGTTTATAATTAAGTAAGGTTTTACGGCACTCACAACTGCATAAGGTCATATGAGCGCCAAGGGGTACTCAGCTCACCTCTAAAGTGTAAAGCGCATAGAGCCTGCTGTTGAGCGGGGATATGCGCTAGACAAATGCTATTTATTATTATTATTATTATAGTCTCAACAGTACAAGGTCTGCTTCGACTATCAAGGCATCCCGGAAATAGTAGTTCATAAGAGAGTGACAAACATACAAGAGAAGTAGAGGAATAAATGATGATAGTAAGGATGAAGAAAGAAAAAGCAGCAGTTCCCCCTATGTTGTTCCAGCACAGTATGAGCATGCATTGATAAATCAGCCCATTTACAATTCTACTGTGCATAAGAACATGTTAATATTCCCCCTTTGGGAATGGCCTAAAGACAACTTCAGTCAGTAGCACTGCCCTAGAGGGCTAGCAACAGAAAAAAAAAAAGTTTAATAGTAGAGGGTTTTACGGCGCTCGCAACTGCATAAGGTCATATGAGCGCCAAGAGGTGGGTGTCAACAGAGAAGTCTTTACAGAGAATCAGACTTAGACTGCTCACCTCTCTAGCTTCAACAGCACAAGGTCTGCTTCGACTATCAAGGCACCCCAAAATAGCAGGTCACAAGGGAGTGACAAACATACAAAAGAAGTAGAGGAAAATGACAATAGTAAGGATCAGGAAAGAAAAAGCAGCAGTTCCCTGTTGTAGGTCAGGCACAGTTATGAGCGTGACATGAGTCAGCCCATTAACAATTCTACTATAGCAACAGAAAAGGAAGACAACTACACCAAAATTAGAGTCCCTGTGGCAAGAACACTAAAGAACTCCATCTGGCCCATGTTTACATGGTGCTGACCCAACAATTGGGAGTTACAGTGAAACTTTCTCTGAGACAGCCACACATGGTCGCAGAGAGAAGTGGTTGTCTTTGACAGGTGAACAGTGTCATTACGATATATAGAAAAAAGTGTGAGGGGGAAATAGGTAAAGGCCGCTAGTACAGGTGCTCTTGGACAGGTGGTCTTGGACAAGTGGCCATTAAAGCAGGTTGGACCCTTTTCATTTTTCTTTTGACAGCAACAATATATGCACTGTTATCTTCAAAAGGAAGGTGTATTGGCACAATTTTTGTTTCCCTAATTCAACTAAAGAAATAGAAAAATACTAAATCATTCTCATTTACATGTATTCCAAGGGTAAATTAGGGTGACAATGACATGCATCCGGTAATGACTGTGAATGTTCTATACACTCGTCCATGGTTCATAATTCTACCTTTGCGCAGTATAATTTGACATGTTTCACATTCTTTTAGCATGTATTCAAACCCAGATTTTAAAAAACACTCAGTTTTACTTCATTTACAGTTTGCTGTTTCACAAAGGCACCCAAGGAAGCCATCCTCCCTTTAATAATAGATCTAGGCTGCCAGCATGCCTTAACTGTAGCTGTGAACTACAACAACAAAATCTGTCCCACTTTTTAAAAATCTTTGGCAATATTCTCCTGCTTCCTCATTCTTCCATACTGTAACGTTGCAATACTCATAAATGCAAGGGTCTATCGAAGCGTTCAATTCACCAAAAACTTTGCCTCTATTTGACAGTCTTATATATTAGCAAAACTTACATGCGTCGGAGAATAACTTTTGTCACCAAATGTATAGACAAATGTACACACATGCTGATCTCATCTTGGTTTGGTCAAAGGCACAAAAGCAGAAGTCAATCAAAGATCCTGCAAGTGGCCAGAAAGCTAGTCTATTTGAAAGATTATCTATCTGCCACAAAATCTATATATTGTCGCTGTTGCAAGCAATCCACAAAGTCCAAATTTTGAGGATTTTCGATTTTTACACCCTCTCAAAGCCCTACCAAAGATGAACCTTTCAACATCATCAAAACGCAGTTTAACTCTTTATCTCTAGCAAGCCGCTCTCAGCGCCTCGCGGCTGCAACCGCCGGGCCAGTGCAGACTCCTTTACGACGACTTCGACATCACATTACTTTTCGGCAATTTCCGAAAACAGTTCTCTTTTACCGGAAGTTCATTCATTAGATGAAGAACTATCAAAATAAGTTCTCTTGTTACGATTTAACGACCCATTTAACGACGTTTTTGTCATTTTTAGATTTGGCACCAAAAAAGGGCCCCGGCATAGTGGGTTTACCCCCCTCGGAGATAAAGAGTATGCTATGGTCAAGGCTAACAATTTTCTTGCTTTTCGTAATAGGAACAACACAACAAAAACAAGGGGTTTTTTTGTCTCAGATGTAAAAAGTACTCAAACGGAGTGGATTGCTCGCAACACCGTCGATATGGAGTATAAATTGTATTAACAAACGTATATAATGATAAATGTGAGGCATCGTGGTGAAATCAGGTGCTCTTCAACATAATGAAATCGAAGAAACAGGCATTTTTCTGTCCATTGGGCAATTTTTATCAAATTTTTGTATTTTGACTCAACACCTTTAAAGTCCAATTAAAAACACATTTCTGTGTGGACTTTACAGAAAAATGTTGATTTAAGGCACAAAAATGTAAATTTGCAACTTGTAAGGACTCTGAAGCTTCAGTAGTGCCAAACTTTGGCAGCCATTTTCTCGTTAATTTTACCTCTGAAACCTGGCAACCCCCACCTTCAATCGCAAAATATCTCGACTTCCGTTCATGATATATGAGTATTTTTTTCACCGAAAGCAAGACAAATAAAGAAGCTGTAAAATCATACCAATAACTCCACATGTCCAAACATTTACGAGCGCCTGATTCCACCACGTCATGACACAAATGGAAAATATAAAAAACAAAGGAAAGTGTCCTGAAAGAGCTCGGAGCACAACATAATAGCCCTCTGAGATCAACAAAAGGAGGCTCAAGCCCCTTGGTCATGCAAATAAAGACACTTAAATAGACCTGATCACAACTGTGCTGCAGAGCAAAGAAGAGGCTACTACAGAAATCAGGGAAGACCTCTTATGTTGGCAAAGTTAGGGCGGACAGCGGCCCACAACTCTATGAAACAATTCATCAAATCAGAGATCGTGACAGATGGCTGCCTGTTGTGACAAGTTGTGGGGCACCGAAGGATGGACATGGCCACGTTGACAGTCCACCTTAGAATTACAAAGTTCTATCAGACATTTTTGGCCATTTTAAGTTACTAAGACCATGAGGTCAGAAACCAAATGCTATATCTGCTCTATAAAAATTGTAAGATTATTTTGAGTTGTTATCAAGATATTCAAGGAACTGCATTCGAAAAAGCATGACATGATGTGAAACTCAAAATTTTTAATATCATATTTCTCAAAACTACGTACTGAGCAGATAGAATTTGTAATTCTACAGCAGCGAGGAGTTGAACTCATCTAGGTTTGGGCAAAGACACCAGGCACATGACTGTGGTGTAGGCGTGAAGCAGTTTGGGCGGGTGCTTGAGCCGGTACTCAATGTCTTTACGGCGCATTTCCTCCATCTGTCGCTTCAGCTGAGCGTTGGACAGAACGGAATCTTCCTCCACATCCTCCTCACCCTCAGCACCACCACCATCACCCGATTCTGACAACACCACACTCTTCCTCTTCCACGGCATGTGTAGAGGGTCCACTGGAGAGTAACTACAACCGATTTCACCATTGCCGAAAAATCCCAGCAATGGAGTGTTTGGGAAGTATTTGCGGAAAATTTTGGATTCGACATTCTCTGCTCCATTGTAGACGTGAGTCCCGCGGCCCACACAAGCGTACATCAGCCCCAAACTGCTGTCCAAGGGGAAATCATACTGAGTCAGCTGCTTGATTACAGCGTCTACTTCCGGTTCTGTCTCGACTTCATCGCGGATCAAAACTGACGCAACTTGGACGTCTTCTCCACATATAGCAACTCCGGACATTGTGATGTCACAGGAAGAACTGAGGAAGAAAAAGATAAGTGAAACAGGAAACCTTAAAGAATTATCATAAAGCATTAACTCACTGAGGATTCTAGTCCTTCCATAATGCGCTAGAAGACATGCTGTTTTGAGGCATTTTAAAAAAAGAGGGATAACTTCTTTATTCACAAAGAATTTAAAATCTGTTTTTCGTTCCATTAAGATTAAAAAGACAGGCAACAACAAAAACAAACTATGAAATATGCCCAATTGCGTTTCTGATTTGTATATGGTGGTTTGAAAAGTGCTGCAACAATGCCTTTGACGTACAGCTGATCAGCATAAGCGTCCATCAAGTCTTAAATTAAATGTTGCAGCCTGGTGTTAGATGTAGATAGAAGTAAAGAAGTGGTCAGAATCAAACAGCCAACAAAAAAAGTTATGGAGAAAGTTTTAGTTTGGTTTGATTAAAAAGAAGCATATCGACACAGAAACTGAGATTTAATTTAGAGCAGAAAAAGAAGCAAGAAAGGCCGAATCAAGATCTTTAAAAAGTTGTAATTTTCTAAATAGCCTTGGTATCTCATATTCCAAGAGTTGAAAGCATTTATAAGAAAGTGGAATAGGGTTAATAAGAGAGCAGGGACGGTTAATAAAGGAGATATACACATAATAAACATATCAATTCTACTCAAGATTTTCCCCAACCAAGAGGTTTTAGAACATAGCGCCCGCGATATTCGAAGGAGCAATGAATACCTGTTAAATTTTCCACTAGCGTCCTTGACGAACTTTTCGTTAACGTAGCCTCCTGCGATGAGAGGCCGGTCAAACATGCGGAAGAAAGAGTATCCAATCTCTTGGTCAATCCCACTCACTGGACAGTACAGGTTGATCATTTTCACCTTGGGGAAAAAAAGCAAATAATGTAATTAATTGTTAATTGTGGTGGTTTAGCTCAATTTCTGTGATGCAACACAGGGTGTGTTGCACACCCGACATCTTACCCGTTACACAGCACAGTGAATGGCATTTTGCTCATTTGAAGGGAATATACTAATTTCACATATTTGTCTTTGTCATAACTTGTTTGCAAAGGTAGGAAAGTATGGTCTCTTAATTTTCATAAGTTAAAACATTTCGTTAGGAGTCTTTTGAATTACAACCGAGCGTGCTCTAATGACCACTTGTCCAAGACGATCATCTATATAAATGACCATTTCCCACTTCCTTCCTTGAGTTCTTTTTTAGTTTTAGTAAGAGTTTTACGGCACTTGCAACACAATAAGGTCGTATAAGAGATGAAGAATAGATGTGTTACAAGATAGTGACAAACACCAAAATGAAGGAGGAGAGAAAAGGACGATACACGTTTGAAAGGAAAGAAGGAGCAAACCACACCAGAGCACCTGCCAATCACCCACTGTCCTTGGGTTTTTCTTTATCAAGATGTCATTGATGTAAAAGTGTCATGGGACTATGTTCCCTGGAAGCTGAAAAAAATGGATAACATGTAACCTTAAAAGTGATGTTCCAGGCACCTGAAAGTGCTTAATCCAAAGACACTTAGGCATTTGTTAGGCACAGAATAAAACCACTTTGGGCAAATTTCCACTGAAAACGTTAGCGGGGAAGACAAGAACTTACAAAAGCAGCTCCTTGCTACTTACTTCCTTTTTCTTGAGTTTCTGTAAGGGGGCTGGCACAGCACTAGACGAACCAGCCCAGTGATTTTGCATGACCTGACACTCGGCGTGTTTACAGGAGAACGGCACCAGCTCAACACCCGCGTAGTCTCCGAACATGACAAGGGACATAACTCTTTCCCGATCTTCGTACTCCTGTGTCTTCATGGATTCATCTGTAGCTGCAAGGTCGAAAAAAAAATTATTGTAAGAGCTTTACGCCCTGGACAACCTAGCTTTTGCTATTAATTAACCCTATCCGTACGTCGTGTTTTACTATTGTATCCATACGACGTTGGGAACTTTGGCCACCATTTTCCAAAGAGGAAATATACTCATTAATCCTATCAGTACGCTTTGCATAGCAGTCTGTCAAAATGATTTTTTGAGAAATACTGAAAGTTTCAACGAGATTTTCGCACTAGAAGTATTCTAAAATATGAAGAATACAACCCCTGAGATACAAAATGACCTAAGGCGTATGGATAGGGTTAAATAAGCAGCTGTTTTAACCCTGCCTGTCGGGGCCAACCCAAACTGACAAGAACACAGCATCCTGGTTGACAAATGGAGATACTTGATTAAAAAGCTTAGTCTCTTAAAGATGGCAGGAGCCAGGGCTTGCTGTAAAAAGGGTTGTTGTTATCGATCCAGTCGGTAAAAGGGTTAAAAAGCTCTATTCTAGATTGTTTAAGGGTTTGAAAGAAAATCTTGAGAGCAAACCAACATGTTTGGGTCATGCGGAGACACATTATCATTGTAACACTTTAATTACGGGCTGATTTGAAGAAAAGGCACCAATTTTTGAAGAGGTTGCCCTTATCAAAACGCTTCTAAAAATGATTTTTCAACATTTTTCAAAACAAAATTTTAAGTATATTCGATTCTAAATGCATGAAGTTAAAATCAGCGTTTTAACCCAACCATTGCGTTTTGAAGATCCGTGCCTTCCCTTAATTGAAAAGTAACCAGCGCAATTTTGGCGCTCTCTTTTCCAGTAATATTCTCAAAACTTAAGAAAAATTACCTTTGTGGAATGACACTGGCGACATATTTTAGTTCCTAGAATAAGAGAAACCACAGCATTTCTAGCATATTATTCTTGGGAAATTTTGGTTCCTGTAGAAAAATACATTCAGTGTCTGTCATGTAAAAGTTAGGCTCTTCACTGTTGCATGCAGAAAACAGGAGTTGGATTCCCTAGTGGGGAAGTTATTTTATTGGGTATCTCTGTCTGTCTGTCTGACTCCTGGGGTGTTGTATCCCACTCGGCCTGGGTTGACCCTTATGGACAAAGTTGAAGCAGCCTGCCTCCCATATGGTCGTACTTGTGTCAACAGGAGCGTGATACATTTACAATAAGAAAATTAATTGGTTTGTTTTAGTAAGCATCCTATTACACTAATTGTAACACATTTACGCCATATAGGTGCCGAAGATTAGAGGTGTTACATGGGAGTTACAAACTCCCAAAAAGAAGGAGGAGAGATAAGCACGATAGATGTTCGATAGGAAGGAAAAAGAAAACCACACTAGAACACCCACCACCCACCCACAGAAAATTGAAACCAATCCTAACAGTACAAACAATTAACACCTACCTATGATACCATCAGTGACCGTGATATGAACAGAACAGTTTTTTGGCAAAGAGAAGCGGTAAAAATCCATCAAGTCCACAGATTTGCGCCTTTTCTTTTTCTTCAGTTTTGGAGGCTGCATAACACAGCTCCAGAGAAACTCTGTGCAGAACATCATAACTGCCCTGGGCTCGATAGGACAGTCCTGGAAAAGAAAAGCCATGCACAGAAAATTGTGAGACAATTAATATCTGATGTTTTTAACCAGAAAATGAAAATTATACACGAGGCCCATTGGGTCTTGATGTCTGACATGAAGTGGTTATTTTTGTTTTTCAAAATTGATTTCACATATTTTCTCTATTCACAAATGCAATGAAATATGTGGCTGAAAACAAATGCCACTTGTAAAAAAATAAGAATATAAGAGCATTTATAATTAAGTTTAACATTAGCAAACACTCTGTTTTCAGAAAATGGACATCAAAGTTCAGACCATGTTTCTTAAACTTGTTACAATCTTTCAAAGCAGTTTTGTCTGCCTACACCAGAACAGAACGTGGGCCTCTGCAAAAACATCGCTGTTTTAACAGTTTCCTCTCAGGTACTCCTTCAGCCATGGGAAAAGGAAAAAGTCCAAGAGAGCAAGATCCAGACTGTATAACAAATGCAGCAGGATGGAGAAGTGCAACTCGTATGAAGGCATGCATTGCCATGCTGCTGTGTTGCATCTTTCTCAGGGCGACCTCGTCTGAGTCTCAGCCTACCTTACAGTTTATGTTTAAGTTGCATCATACTGTTCTGAGTTCACCGACTTCTCCTGCTCCAGGAACTCCATGTGGACTATGCCTTCCCTGTCTCAGAAAATGATAAGCAACACTTTTCTTGCAGAGGCCTAACATAATGCATTTGATAACTACATTGTGTCGCAGTCTGATCTCCTTTCAAAGGTCTTGCTCATCGCCTAATAATGCTAAAATCAACAAAAACCTCCCCATAAATAGATACCATGCTTTCATACAAATGATTGCTACTGAACAGCTTTCGGCAGTAAGAAACTCAATCACAGAACATTGCTGATGCAAAGCTCTTTGGAGGTCGTCATTTTAGCTGACCAAGGTACCCAACCACGTGTTGTGACACATGCAATTTTGAGTGTGCATGACGTCATAGGGGATCAAGGACTTGTGATGGGTCTCATTTAAATATTGAGAAATGCATAAGCGTCTCAAACAGCTTCTCCCAATCCAGCCAACCGTACCTGTCCATGGTGGTCCCTGTTTCCACTGACACGGCTCTGGCGAATGGCCAGTTGTTGGCGCCAACAAACCAATCCCCCCGTTTCCTAGAGGGGTTAAAACAACAGGATGGGAGCAGGTGTGGCCCCACAAGGTGCAGGAGGCAGAACCGACCAATGCGTGGTAGACGCTATGCTCCTCACTGACACACCCCTACTCTCCCTTGAGTGGGTGTCTAATCTGCCTAACATCTCTACTACTTTTATCAACACACCCTCTGTGGTTGAGAAGGTACCAGCCAGTTTGAGAGTGTCTGGGTGCAGGGGAAGGACCGAGCGGAAAGCCTGACTTGCTTTCTGGCCCTGAAACCCCTTAGTAAAGGCACAATGACCCAGGACGTGACGATCCAATGGCTTTCCCACTTGGCCAATACCTCATGAAAGAATAGAAAACTTTAGCCAGTAGCCATTGGTGGCGGGGAATGGGCAACGTGAACCCTACCGGAATTACACGGTCACAGGGCAGTTAAGTTTTTCCAGTCTCATGAAAACTCCTAGTACTCTCCTATCCTCAACATGAATGGCCTCTTCTCAGGGTGGGAAGACAGTCCACAGACACCCCAGTCCACAATGCCATGACACAAAGAATGTGCATGATGTCATAAAGAGTTGAAACTTTCTGTGGTGGTAGGCAAATGGCTAGAAAGAACTTGTAGGAAATCTCCCTATTCTATAATGAAAAGTAAAAAGTCATGGCATAACAGACATACCCTCATATTTATCAAGCATCTGCAAAATGTAAGATACATAAGGGGATACTCATAAAGCAAACTGTAAAAAGAAAAATGAGACACACTAAGCAAAGAGGAACTCATGAGGATATAAGATGAGAATCCAAAGATGGAAGTCTTAATTATAATGAGAACAGTCTGAGAGTTTAAAAAATTGAGAAAGCATCAGGCTGAGGTGATTCAAAGCAAGGTAAAATTCATTCTGTTATAATTCTTTGTTTTATTTTTGTTTAGTAAGAGTTTTACGGCACTTGCAACACAATTAGGTCATCATACAAGTGCTGATCTGTGCTCCAAGAGAGTAAAAAACATTTTAAAAAGAAGGAGAGATAAGGATGATAGATGTTTGATAGGAAAGAAACAGCAAACCACACCAGAGCACCAGCCAACCACCCACATCCTGTTGTTCTGATGTGTGAACCGAGACATTGAGACTAATGTTATAAAGGAAGCAGGAGAGAAAGCTCTGAATCTTCATAAACAAAGCATGGAATAGATTTTCGGGCTGGGATAGTCTGACTTTGTCAACACAGAGGAACTATTACAGGGGAGGCACATGAAAGAAACATCGGTAAAAAATGTCTAGAAAAAAAAATACACAAAGAGAAGATGGTGATGAACTGGACAAATGTTAAGTAAATTGATGACAAGTACAATTACCAGAATGGCCTTGAAATGGAAATGACCAGAGTAATATGGCAGAGAAAGGTTGAGACAGATGCAATTACACTGGGAAAAACTTAGGGAGAACTGGAGAAAGACAAACAGGACAAACACCTTTGGAGAGAAAATGTCAAAAGCCTATTCTCCTTTGGGAAAGTTAGAGAGATGTGTGCAGCCAGCATCTAAATTCACAAAATGTCAGTTCGCGAAATCAGGGGCAATGTAAAAAGAATAAGACACAGCCATTATTTTGCAATGTTAATAAAAAGTAACACTCTATTTTTGCTGCTGAAACATGATGAAAACAGTCAAACAACTTACCAGAAAATAAGAATTGACTGAGCTCCACCACTCCTCGTCAGCAGTGTTGTGCTCACAGAAAAAAGAATGCCATCTCATTTGTCTCCTTGAACATTTGGCTTTGACAGCTTCATCTCTCCAAAGTTTACAGACCCTTGAGGAAAAAAAGAACAAGAAATAACATTAATTACAGTAAGCACCATAATGTCCTGTCACGGTTATAACTGACTACCGTATGTTTGTGTTATGATGACGGTGCATGTGGCTCATTAACTCTTATCATCGATCACAGCCGCATGCTCCACGATTGGTTCCATTTACACCCTGTTCCAGCCAAACCTTCACAGAGTTTCACATCCCCTAATTAAACGGCTGAGTCTATACGCACGCAATTGCGTGAACAGAAATTCAAATTTTGCTATACGCACGCAATTGTGTGCAAGGTATCATAGTTTTCTATTTGCACGCAATGGTGTGTACAGTCAAACCTGTGTAAAACGGCCACCCATTTGTCAAGGAGAAAAGTGGCCGTATATCACAGGTGGCCATCATAGGCAGGACTGGTCAAAATGAAGAAAGCAAATCATTCTCTTCTGAAGTCCAAACCGGGGCTGATCTCAGACTTAAGACTAACACAGGGCTAATTCAAAAGGGTTTTGGGTTGGTTTTTTTAAAGTGGGGTGGATGGTTTGAGAAGCGTTTTTTGCGTTGTTTTGATGGAGTTTTTTTGTTTTTTGTAAGCTTTCTTTTTGTAGCTGATTTTGAGCACGGGTAAAATAAATGAAATATTAACTCTTTCTCTGCCCATTACCGATACATCGGCAGCGCGACTGCACCATTTTCACCCATTACCGATACATCAGCACAGGCTATACTCAAACTTTATTTAGTTCGTAAATACTTGATCCATAATTTTAAGTTTTGATATACGCAGTGGCTACGTTCACGGCGCCCTGAATGCAGTTTGCAGGCGCTGTTGAGGTTACGTTCACGGCACTCAAGCTGCCGGTTTAAGGCATGATGCGGGGGGAAATTTTGAAATTCGTTAAGAAGAAGAAACTAAGCTTACAAATGTGGTAGCATCATTGGGTAGCATCAATATAAAAAGAGTGGAGAATTAAGTCATGAA